CAGCCGCATCATGGGGAGAAAGCACTGGAGTGTGGTATTTATCTTAAAATCAGTGGGAAGATATTGAAGAGATTTTACTAAGGGAGATGATTTGATCTGGTTTAGTTATTAAAGTATCACTGGCTGCTGTGGGGAACGGGAGAGGTACAGCATCAGAATGGACAGTTTATTTAATAGTCTAGGCTGGTGGTCCCTTAACTTTTGAGCTTATCTCCTAATGCACGTGCATTTATAGCTTATGTATATGTTTGGCGTTGACATATGGCATACATTGTAAAACATGAAAAAATAGAACTGTAAAAAGGATGAGAAAAAAATTAACAGAAATGGAAGTACCACTATGTTCTTTCCTACCCTAGGGTATGTTTAGCATTCTGGGATATATGAATCCCACTTTGAAAACCAAGAGATCATGGAACATGAAGAGTGGCAGTGGAGGTAGTTTGGAGAACAATGAGGAGATTGCATTAACAGGACTTGGTAATAGGTTAAATAGTAGTAATGGAAGGGCCCTAGATATCTGGTTTGCATAACTGAATAGATAACAGCGCTGGTTAGAGAGTTAACAGATACTCTAGTAATCTTTTTGGTTAAAGTGCATTCTACCTGAAGGTGGTGTTTTCTCTGAGCATATATGTACTTAATAGTGCCTTAGTAACGAAGTAGAAAGGGGGTGGGGATGGTGAGGGGATTTGATCTATGCCCATGAGGAAGAAGCAGAGAAATGAATGTGGGACACGGATTACTCTTACCTTTAGAAGTGTTAGGATATGGCAGGATTGGTAAATGATAAACCCCTCAACTTCAGTTTCTCTAGCTGGAGACAGTCACTCATTCCACATCTAAAAATAAATGGCTTCTTACAAAACAGATGTTGGACTGGTGCTATTGCCAGTCAAGCCTAATCAATTATCAGCAGTTTATCAACTGTTAGCAGCCATTTTCATTCTTGCTTAGAAGGGAATAAAATGCATTTGAGGCCCTAAGTTGGGGGAGAACTAAAGAAATGAAGAGGGGCGGGGAAACCCAGTCATATAAATAGTTTTGCTTAAGATTCAGTAATGAAAAAAAAAAAGAGAGCAGTTCTATATGATGGTATTTTTTTCACATGTAGCTATAGATGCATGATACCTCATTTTTTGAGATATATAACGATTTTCCTTTATTAAAAACTGCATATATTTTAAAACAAAATTTGAAATTCTTTTGAAAATGTTTTAAAATGCCACTTTAAAATTATCATCACTTTGAATAAAATTTACTATTTGTAATTCTCATGTCTTTTAGCACAGTGCCCTGCAAATATGGTGCCTTTTTCCTCCCAGTTTTATTGAGGTACAATTGACAAATAAAATGGTAAGATGTTTAAAGTGTACACGATGATGATTTGATACACATATAAATTGTGACAGGATTTCTTCCATCTGGTTAATTAACACATCTATCACATATTTATCTTTTTTGTTTCATTGATTGGTTGTTTTGTTTTGGTGAGAACATTTATGTTCTATTCTCTTAGCATATTTCAGTTATACAGTACAGTGTTATCAACTATGTTATCAACCGTGTTTTACATTAGATCTTCAGTCTTTATTCATTTTGTAACTGAAAATGTGTACCCTTTTACCAGGCTCTCGCTATTTCCCTCACCCCCCAGCCCCTGGTGACCACTTTTCTGTGAGTTTAGCTTTTTGAGGTTCCACATCCAGGTGATTCCATGCAGTCTTCGTTTTTTCTCTGTCTGGCTTATTTCATTTAGCATAATGCCCTCAAGGTCCATCCATATTGCTGCTAACAGTATTTCCTTTTTCCTATGGCTGAATAATATTGCAGTGTGTGTGTGTGTGTGTGTGTGTGTGTGTATACTGCATCTTCTTTATCTGTTGATGGACACTTAGGTTGTTTCATATCTTGACTATTGTGAATAATACTGCACTGACCGTGGGAATGCAGATATTTCTTCAGTATCCTGTTGTCAATTTCTTTGGGTATATACCCAGAAGTGGGATTGATGGATCATATGGTAGTTCTATTTTTAATTTTTTGAGGAGTCTCTGTACTGTTTTCCATAGTGGCTGTACCAGTTTATACCCCATGGTACCTATTTCTGAACACAGGCAACCATACCACTGCAGTGTCTTCTTCCATTCTATTCTGTATACCTTAGAACAAACACAAACACATTTGCTTTCATGCCCTCTCAAAAATGGTTATAGTAGAACTTTACAATCATGAGGATAATACCTGGGGCCCTAATGATGGTCAGAAGTATGATCACTGCTAATTTGCATGCTATGCTGTGCTCACTCAACAGACCAGCTTTCCAGAGAGTACAAATCAAATTAAAACCAGCTGTAAGCAAACATGATCTCATTTAATCCTCAGAAAAAATGCTGAGCTGGGTAGTTTCCTCATTACAAATTTCTTTGGGATTAACTCCTGATCGTGGAGACCTCTACTGTTAAAAATGTGAATGCTAAGGGTCTACTATAGTAATTATATATTGCAATAAAATACAGTAATACTGATCAAATGACAGCCTGTCATTTTCTCCTACTAATATCTCACCCAAGGTTTGTGTATTTCCCTGCTTGTACAAACTACCTAATGCTAAAGGATGTTAAAAAAACAGGGAAAAGCCTGAGGGACAGCTGTTTTACAAACTATATTAGAAATAAATGAACAACCATGACAAGACTATTTCAAGGTCAGAGTAGCTCATAGAGATGGTCTTTTTTCTTTTCTAGAAGTCTAATATAGATGTTAAGTTTTGCTTTTTTGATGCATCTTAACTGCTTTAGTTAACCTCTTCAGTTCATGTTTTCTTTTAGGGTGCATCCTTATTTCTCTCAGCCGTAAGCCTATTTTAATACACTGATTTATAGAGAAGTGTCTTTTTTTTTTTTTTAACTGAATTTACTCAATCTGTACACTGAACATTCTTTTCCCATGTTCCACCCTCCTCCCTCAACTGAGTGAAGAAAGAGTTAACAGCATCAGTATTAAGCAGGAAGTGCTGTTAGCCTTATGCATATGATGGAATGAATAATTTAGTATCTTCGGGAAATGCAAACTGCAGTAGAACTCAAGCAACCTTATCAGAATTTAGATAAGTATTTTAGGGATGGTATGAAGTAAAAGTCAGTAGAAAGAATATGTTTAAAGATACCAAGTGCAAGAATGTTGCATAATAGTTTAAACTGGCAAAATTGGGGATTTTGGGTCTTATGTGGTAGTAATGTTTTACCTCAATTCTGACGATTGTCAGATGACTTTTTACCAAAGTGATCGGTAATGGAATGTGGCAGTTTCTTTGCTGTCAGAGACGAGATAATTTCTCAGGTTTTTCCTGTAAGTTTTTAATATTTTCCTTATTTTTTTTCCTCCTTTAAATGTGAATGAAAGGAACTGAAGGGTAAAACCTGAAGACTAGGCATGTTTATTTAATAAGGGCTTTATAGAAGTAGTCATTTACAAACATCGGTAAGACAGATTTTTAAAAAAGTTTAAGCAAAATATAATTATTGAAAATCTTCTAAATGGTTTATCATCTTTGGCATGATCTGATTAGGCTAGTAGACATTTTATATGTATGCCTGTGGTCTTTTTTATGTCATTACTGTAAATATTGTGCATGCGACTTTAATAATAATTGATTAAGTGGGTGGAAGTACTTAGGAAAGGTGACATTCAACAATCTTATTTATTTTGTGTTTGAAAATATCTGCTGTATTTAATATCTTTAAAACAAGACTTAAGTGTAATTGGATTATATTACATCTAATTTCTAAAAAACAATAAAAAATTCTCTTATTTAAGATTTATTACCATTTTCAGGTGTGCATTCTTTAAATATAAATTGGTTTGGTTTTGATTCTATGCAAACTTTTAGTTAGCATAAATTGTATTATTTAAATAATACAGTTTTAAGGGAAATCTAAATTACTGTCTTGTTTGCCTTTATGTAGTCTTTCTTAAGTCAATATATTTTTAACTTGTTTATTGTTTCTTGATTAATACTAATGGAAAGAGAAAATCTTTCCTACGCTGAAAAGAATTTCTGTAGCATTTTATTTATAGAAAAGTATTGATGTAAAGTTTTGAATGTCACTAATGTAAAACTAAAAGAAATTTTTGTTTTTCCCACCCCAGTTTTGAGTGTCACCTTGCTTTTGTAAAAGCCTTTCCCCTTTTCATAAATTAGCATCTCCTTCTCATTGAATTTTTTCACTTAAAGAGAATTCACCTCATTAATACTTAAGGTAAATTTTAGTATAGGCAACCTAAATATTAAGTGGCTTTTTGAGGTGGCCACGCATTTTTTAACAAGATTTTGTCAAATTCGTATGCATATATACATATTGAAGAAAAAAGGAAAATAAAATGCGGCTTGATAAAACAATGAATAGTTTTGCTGTTTTTCAAAGATGAAAAATGAAGATATTCTTATTTGACATCAATGAATATATATCACCCTAATTGCTGGAGGCTGCGTAAAATGGCTTTGGTCTTCAACTAGTAGAGATGAGTTCATCTCATGTTAAGCTAATCTTAAGCATTTCCCTTAAATTTTTTTCAGCTGCAAATTCTTTTAAATGAGCAATACTAAAAGAGGGTAGCTATCATGGAATTAACTAATGGCCATAGATCTGACTTCCTGTATCTCAGGTCCACTTACTTTTTAAGATAATTGTAAAATGCAAATTGATTGCATTCTCTGATTGTATAACTCAGGAAATAATTAAGCTATAAGTGCATCATTTGGTCTGTGGCTTATTATAGGGTTTTTTCCACAAATAAGATTACACATAAAAATTTTTAACAAGTTTATGTTAAAGAGGATACGTTTTTATTAAATTACAGAGTTTCCAGAATGAGGATCTAGCTAGGACGTATGTGTAATACTTTTGAACCTTTCAAAACACCTTTTAGTTTATGTGAAGTTCTTCAGATGGCCCCGTTGTCCTTTGAAGCTTCTAACACCAAGGTGTCTGTTGCAGCCCAGAGCAAAGTTACTGCTACCCAGGACAGCACTAATTTGCGATGTATTTTCTGTGGTAAGCAACATTGTTTACATTACTTTTTCAAGCTGTGGTACATACTCCTTGCACATTTCCATAACTTTTGTTTCCTTAGGCCATGGTCTGGTTTGTGGTATTTGGGATATACAGCAAGCTACTGTTTTATGTTGTGATATTTGTTGTGGTTCATGTAGGTGGTTTGGTCAGCTTTTGAGTTGGCTTCTTAGAAAGGATTTAGTTAGAATTAGGATCTCAGAACTAATTTCTTGTTCACTTCTTCCAACACGAATGAGAGGGGTTTTTGTTTGTTTGTTCGTTTTTGTTTTTAACTATTTTCTTTGAGAGCAGTGTTTTAAATTAGAATTTAAGGGGAAAAGTTATATTCATCTTAATATGATTTGGGGAATATAAATGTGATTTATTGGAAGGGAGCTTTTGCTTAACTTGAATTAATTTTCAGGTGTACATGTTGTAAGGCAGATGTGAGCTCTTATTAATAGGTTGATTTCTGATTGACAGCCTCCTTTATTCAGTAGATTAGATATCTGTGGCTTAGGAGTGAATTTAGGCTTATAGAGTGTTTTCTTTCACTCTCACGCTCATATACACACGTGTGCACATATATGTGTTGTTTGCATGGACAAACCGGTTATGTCACTTAACCATTCCACATTACAGTTAATCAGGTATATGCATTATATGCATATCCTGCTCCTTACACTAGGATGTATCTATATATGTACACATATACACAGTACACACACACGTCTGAATTCTTTTTATTCTCATTTGATCCTAAAACTTTCTGATTTGAAAACCCAAGTTCAAAAAGTGACTTTTAAATCTTAGAGCCGTTTTTTTTTTTTTTTTTTTTTTTAAACTCGTATATACGTTTTTGACTACTGTATACCTTGGCTGGCCAGATTATTTTATGAGAGATAAGATGATATATACTAGTAAAATTTTATATAAACAATTCAGCTGTGTATATGTACTTTATCCATGTGAATCAGAGTTTTTGATATGATCCTTCAGTATTACTAATACTGTTTCTTGACCTATAAAGAGAATTGCTTTAAGATTGATATACTTGCTGGTTTAGGCAAATAAGCATGTGTTATAAATTTCCAAAAATGAAAATTCTAATGCATTTCTTAATCACCTGAGGTTTTATTTTACGATCTCTCCAGGTGACAGTTAGAGCAGTGAGCCTGTTGTGCGGCTCCTTATAAACTCTCCACTCCTTCTCAGGTTCCTTAATTAATCATTACAGATTAAGTGATTAATTAGTAACTTTTACTTCTGATTTTTCTGCCTCCTCCTGGGGGTTCTTCCAGGCGGTCTTTTGAACTAGCCATGAGTGATTGTTTGTGTTTGTGTTATTAGGACTCTTTTTAGCTCTTTTTGAAAACCTACTTGATGTTCTATACTTCGCTACTTAATATGTGTAGTTCACATGCAGAATAACAGAGTTTACCCAACTGCAGAGAAAAGATTGATTTGGCCTTCATAAAGGTGAATTTTTTAAGTTGTAAAATAATGTGTTAAAAAGCAGTTTCCCCCAGTAGTATGTTTAATTGATTTAACTGTGTACAAACATTATAATTACCACATTGCTAAGTTTAAACTTGACTGTATTGTGTATAATAACACCTATTTGTCTTTTAGTCCTGTGTTTTAAATAGTCTGTGGCTAAGTGTGAAACTAGGTCTGTGAAAATTAAAATGTGGCAATAAGTGAAATATGCTTTACCCAAAACTCAGTATTGAAGTCAAGACTGAAATGCCATTCATTCCTGGTTTAGAGAGACATTCTATTCTGATTTCCATCATTTATAAGATACCATATCAGTGACATGGACACATTTCCTTTATTAGAAACATGTGATTTACATCCTTTGCTATATGAATTCTAGCCAGGACAAATTAAGACCAACCATTGTCTTTGGCTGTGGTAATAGAACAGAGAAAACAATGTAGCTACTGTTCTTTATGATACAATAGTAGGAACAAAGCAGGTTCACTTGTCCCTTCTCCTTTTTTCCCCCAAAAGAGCCGTTAACCACCCTGTGATGCTCATAAAATATTGTTACGTACCCACTGGTTAGGAAAGTACCTTTTTTGCATTCTGTGAGAACACAAATACTCATGTAAGCATATGACCTATGTGAAGTAACTAATAGTTATATTCCAGAAAATACAGTGGCAGCTGACAGCCTTGCCTAATCTTAATTGCTGCTTCATGTTGTGTGTGGTGCCTTTGGTATAATTTAACAATTGTATAACCCAGTAAAATGTTTGACAAGAATGAAGAATATAATTGAGTACCTGAAGTTCATAATTTACCTAAGACTTCTATTTAATGCTCACAGTATATTTATATTATTTCTTAAATGCACATGAATTTCAATGTGCTTGTTATTGTTAGTTGAGGATATTGATGCAGAAGAAACAAACAAAATAACCAGATTAAATATGGATGTAAGAAAATGCCAGGGGGAAGGCGTCCTCTCTCCTGCCCCCCAGTTAATAACGAAGGTGTTTGGGAAGACAAATAACCCACTATCACCAAGAACCACGTAGAAAAGAATTTTAAGAGTTGTTCAGTTGTTCGTGGATTCCTCCCATTTTAAAAGGACCTTCCTTGTAGTAAACTATTTTTATAATTAATAATATCAGCCAGAAAATATTGCCCACATTTTTAAAACCTCCTTTTAAAACAAGCTTGCTGAGTAAACTTTTAAATTAAAAAAAACGATCCAAGATAGTTTTTATAAATTGCTAAAAGAAACCTTTCTCACATTCAGATTTTTTTGTGAGTTGTATCAAACTTTGGACAGTTTAATTTAAAAAAAAAAACCTTTAAATAAAATCAGTAGGATTGAGTTGAAATTTTGACATCTTCCTCTTGAATTTATGTATTTGAGTTAAAACTTACATCGAGATTTTAATTGGTGAATTTAATCTATTAATATTATTGTTGAGCTACAGTGCTTGATGTAGATGTGAATTAGTAGGATCGAATTCTTTGAGACTGATGCCAAACAAATCTACCTACTGACATTCACTGCTTAATTATTTGAGTAGCATGAAGTTTTAACTTAAATACACAAACAGTGTTTTTAAAACTAGTTAAACCATGGTGGTCTTGTGAGTTGCCCATGCTGAATGCTCACATTTAATATTTTTGGATAAATATAACTTTGGAAAATACTCCCCCAAATAGTTTATATTTTCTCACACTTACCCTCCCACCTTGTATGTCCCCCTCCTCTGCCAGAAGAGATGAGTAAAGTACTAAACATTAGGGTATGGCTTAATAGGACAATCTGTTTTTATATCATTATGTTAATATCCGAAAGAAGGAAAGAATTCCAGTCTGTCTCCTAGACACATGACATATTTTCATTTATGCAAACATTTAAGTGCATTTTTAATTTTAAAAGCTTTATTTTATTTTTTTTGCTGTTACTGATTACATGGGATTAATATATTTTTATATTTCCTCTATGGGGCTCTTAAAATAACAGACTCTTTTAGGAAATCTAATGAAATATCACTGCAGTTGTCATCTAATTTGTCTTTAGAGGACAAATTAAATGATTAATCTATAAAAACATGTGTAAAGAGATGAGGAGAAAAATTAGTAGGTAAGTTCAGATCAAATTATTTGTTTTTCTGCACTTGGGATATAAAAGTACTGTATTATATTCTAATGAACCTTATCCTTCTCTTTGTGAAATCTTCTCCACTAGTATAAAATTGATACTTTGTGCTTTTAACTCATAGACTACAAGAGTTTGCTTTAGCACATAGAAGCATTTATTTATTAACTGTTTTTTATACTAGGGTCTACAAAACACTTTCCAACTGTTAGGGGCCTTTGCTGGCACACTAGAATTCACAAATATGTGCAGCATATCATTACTCATATATTTCTCTCCAAGAGTGGAAGATAACTACTGTTTCTTTATTCTCTTGTTTACTGGATTAGATTTCAAGATTGTTCTGTTGTAACCATAGGCATTGTATATTAGGTCCAGTATTTTATTTATCTCATTTTATGACACATAATTTTTATATCCAGCGACATTAAAATGTCCCATTATTTAGTGGCCTTCTTTGTGAGATGCTAAAAGTGGGTCTGCATTTTATATGATGCGGGAATGAATGGTCATTAGTTTCTCATGACAGAACCATGTTGGTTTGAACGCAGGTTTTTTTTGTTTTGTTTCGTTTTTACCCCAAATGAAAAGTTATTATGATTACCTGTGTTACATCAAAAATTCAGAGAAGTAGGTTAATTATATATGGAAGTTTAGCAAATGTTTGTTTTCACCAGTGCTGGAAATGCCAGGCCATTAAATAAGAATGGCAACTTAAAGTGGGCAAATTTGATAAATGCATTAGCATACATCAGTCTAGTAATAAGGTTCTCATGCTCTCTCTCTCCTGTTTTTCATTTCCAGTGTTCTATTTAGGTGAGTTTTTGAATTCTGATTTTTCATTTAAGTTCTCCCTCTCCACTTCATGAATAAGTACCCCAAAGAGAATGTCTCATTGTCTTAGAAACGTCAAGCTTAGGTGCCTATTCAGATGCTCATTGAACACTTGTTTTACTCAAGCTCTTCATATATAAATGTTTATTTTTCTTTTATTGTTGATGTTTTCCATTTGTTTCAAGTAAGCCTTCTGAAGATAATGACAGTATTATGTTGCAGTCTTTCATTTGCTGTGTGTTATATGAAGCTTATATTTTATTTTGCTAAACAAAAAGAAGATACATTTGTAAATATGTTATGGTTTTACGTTATTCTCATGATTTTATCTCCTCTATCCAGTGCAATATAAAGATAATGTTCATCTATAATGTTTCCCTCCCTTTTTAGGGCCGACATTGCCTAGACAAAATTCACAGCTACCTGCCCAAGTTCAGAATGGCCCATCACAAGAAGAATTGGAAATTCAAAGAAGGTAAATTCACGAGTTATTTGCACCTTTTCTTTCTACTACAGAAGACCAATCTGTGAACATCTGATATTGAAAGTGGATTATGTCTCATCAGCCATTTGGAAGTCTGAACTTTTATTGTTATATTAAGTTTTAGAATCATGTTGATAATCGAGCAGATTCTTAATAGGCTGGACAAAAGATGTTATAAAATTTCATATATGCTTTTTTGGTAAAAATCATACTCATGAATTTAAAATATTTTAAATACTCTTAACAGCATATAAAATGTCTTTACACTTCAAGCAGTGTTATTTTTATAGCAGTTATAAATTAATCTGTGATCATTATGCCTGTCACATGACTGGAAAGTTGAAATAGTGTTGGCTCTTTGTACAAGGCATTGAATATTGAACAGGAACAGTAATAGAATACAGAATCATTCTGTTTATTAAATTAAACTGTGATTGAATGAAATCAATAACGTCTTCATTATCTCAGTGCAGTTTAGAAATACATTTGAAATTATAATACAGCCTCATTTAGGGGTAGTTTTTTCTGAATTAACCCAGGGTCTCTAAATTAGAGGCTACTTTATAACAAAATAGTTTTGTAAAATTCAGTCACATTCAGTAACTAAAATTGAGCTAGTCAAGCCAGGTGCCCCATTTTCAACAAATTAAAACTTTTTAGAGATGTTGATACTGCTTTTTGTTACTAGTAGGGCACCCCTGTTTTGTTCTGGGGAATTGATAACCATCTTACAGATGGAATTTTCCAATTGAGAGGCATTTGCTCCATGGCAAGCCAGCAATTTTTCTTGTCACTTTTGATTTGGGCCTCATATTTCAAATGTTCTTCATATTCTCTATGTTGTCTTAATATATGTGTCATGTTTCCCTGACAGACGGTCAAAGGAATCTCTTGCTGTGGTTCTGTGTTGTTGTTTGCTGTGTGACTACTTAGCTCTTGAGGAACGCCCTCCAGGATCTCTTAAAGTGAATTTCATTTTTGCCACAGTCTATATATTTAGTTAGACCACTCTGGAACTAGCCTCCAAATTTGGTGAAACTTTTTCTGCTCTTTAGAGTGATGCTGTAACAGATATAAATAAAATTAAGTTTCTGTAGAAATAAGGGGAGTTTAAGGAATATAATCATTTATTTCAGTCCCATATTGAAAATTTTAAACAGACTAGAATAGTTCCAAGAGTTAAAAATTGTATGCTGTGTCTCACACACCAAACGGTAAAGTAATTAATAAAAAAATGATCATAGTTTTATTGAGAGTAACACATTTGTAGAAAATGAGGAAGAACCAGGAGAAAATCCTGAACATAATAGATCATCTCTGGTAATACAGAGTAGGCAAGCAAGTAATCCCAGACAAAGTTGCTGGAGTCCAGGGCAGCACAGAATACAAACAGAAGTCTTCTGCTGGTACTGCTGCCTTGTCAAGGGTCACAGGTGGGTCATCTGCTTCACAGAGGGTTGTCAAGAACTTGCAGCATGCAGTTTTAGTTGAAAATGAGTACTGAGTGAACTTTTAGTAATTGTCATGAGAACACCATGCCCTCATGTACGTTCTTTCTCATTTCAAAGCGTTCATCTGGACTTGAGGCTTTTCTCTTTGTATGTAAGTAGATACTTAAGGGTTTGAAAACTGAAGATATTTATATTATTTGTTTAGTTGAAGACTTTAACTCAGTCATTTTGAAGAGTGGAATCCGAATTTCTGAAAAATTGGTATGAATTTTAAATTATTTTCTGTCCATAGTCATGCACAGACTCTTCTTTCTTCTTCCACTTGACACGAACCAATTTCTTTCTCTCTCATTATTAATTTCATCTCCATTCCTTTTCTTTACTCTTCACCCCATTTCCTGTTTCTATGTTCTTTTGTTGTTGTTGTTTTGTGGGGTTTTTTTGGCTGCATTAGGTCTTCGTTGCTGTGTGCGGGCTTTCTCTAGTTGTGTCGAATGGGGGCTCCTCTTCGTTGCGGTGTGGCGCCTTCTCTTGTTGCAGAGCACGGGCTCTAGGCACATGGGCTTCAGTAGTTGTGGCATGTGAGCTCAGCAGTTGTGGCTCGTGGGCTCTAGAGCGCAGGCTCAGTAGTTGTGGCACATGGGCTTAGTTGCTTCACAGCATGTGGGATCTTCCCAGACCAGGGCTCGAACCCGCGTCCCCTGCATTGGCAGGCGGACTCTCAACCACTGCGCCACCAGGGAAGTCCCACCCCATTTCCATTTTAATCTCATGAAATCTGCTTTGTGTTCACAAATCGACTGGATTTGCTGCTTCCATCATTGACTTATTCAAGTTTAAATGTCTTCTCTTGGTCTACATATTCCACTTCTCTCTCTTCCTTTTGATGCTGTAGAGTATCTTTTCCGCTAACTCTTCTCCTTCTCTGTACCTCTTCCTTTTCTTATATAAGGCTTTGCACTTAGGCATCTCTTTTTTATTTCTGCACACAGTATAACCTTTGAAAAGTTGATGATTTGGTTGGACCTTATAGTTTTCTTTTAACTTCTGTGCTGATGGCTCCTGATTATCCAGTGGAGAGCCAGACCCATATTTCCAGATAAACGGAGTAGTGTCACGGGTCCTTTTGAGAATTTGGTTGAAGCAGTGAACTACTGCCCTCCTCCACCCAGTCCCCCCACCCCACCCAACCTGACCCTTCAGATACGTGCGTGTGATTTTGCACCATGTGCACGCATGTGTGCCCTTACATGGTCCAGAGGATCACAGACCCCCTTAATTCCAACAGTGGATCCTCAGTGAGAATCCCTATTTTAGAGCTCATCCATTTGGGTATCCTACTGATGCCTCAGTTTAAACCCTTATGGTTTCATTTTTAATGTACATTCCTTCTTCTCTCTAGTATTTCTCCCAAAATTTCAGCTTAGAAAGTCTATAATTATCTTCATTCACAATATCTATTCAAGTACATTTTGTTATTTCTTTCTCTAAAAGCCTGTTGGATTTACTGCCCTGACATTCTCATTACTAATAGCTTTCTCCAGTATTTATTTGCTTGTGTACTGCTATAGTTTTCTGACTTCCTAGTTTTTCTGTCTTTAAGCTGGATCCCTTTCACTTACTCCTACTTTATTACTGCTAGATTATTTTTTCTTACACTTTTTTGCACAGTGCAGGAGGGTCTATAAGGGGGGGAGGGTGATCTGCTGCACACTTGTGCCCTCCCCTCATATTAATCATGAGACTTAATCACTTTTAACCATTTCTACTTTCAGTACTTTTGATGAGTTCTTCTATAGTAATATATAATGTGTTTATATTTCTGTTTCTTGATTAGTCACATTACAGATAGTACCTACTGACTCTACGCTATGAAAAAATGAAGAATTCTTCACTTCCCCTGCCAGTCATGAGTAGTTATTATTTTTAGTTCTTCTAACCTTAGTATCTCTTAACTCTTCACTCTGTAAGAGGAATGCAGTAGTTCTGCACATCTCCCTTTCTTCCATTCTACCACCTAGTTTTGATAGACACATCATTTTTTTAATTAAATTTAATTTTTTTTATTTTCATGGTTTATACATTTTCAGTCTTTCTATGGCTGTCATTAAATCTTTGTCTTTATGTTAGTAAGTGATCTTTCCTCCCCCTTCCTAGAATCCTTTTAAACCTTCTTACTAACTATGGTAGTCTGAGTTTTCACAAAGATGTGATTTGTTTTTGGTTTTGGGGTCCCCCCCCCATTTATTAAGCTCAGTACTTAATGGACTGTTTCCATTTGAAGACTTATCCACAACTCCTAGATTTTTTTAAAATTTTATTTCTTTAGCCATTTCCTTCTCTGTTCTGTTCTCTTTTGGGGGGGCTCCTACTGATCAAATGCTGGGCCTCCTGGGTTATTTCCTTATGATGCTTATCTTTTCTCATTTTCTGTCTCTGTTTCTGTGTTCTGTATTCTTGATGATATTTTTAACCATACGTTCTAGACCAGCGTTACCTAGTAGAAATATAAGCTACATATTTAATTAAAATTTTTCTAGTAGCCTTACTAGCAAAAGTAAAAAGAAACAGGTGAAATTAATTTTAATAACAAAATATGTTGTTAAATAAATATTTAACCCATTATAACGGAAATATTATCATTTCAAAAAGAAATAAGTATAGAAATTAAGGTATTTTACATCCTGTTTGTCATACTGAGTCTTCCAAGTTCAGTATGTATTTCTTACACTTACAGCACGTTTCTGTTCAGGCTGCCCACAGTATGAGTGCTCGAGAGCCACATATGGCTCATGGCCACCTAATTGGACAGCACAGTAGTTGATCTCCTATAATTTAATTTTATTCTCCAAGAGCCTTTGGCGGGGCGGAGGCGGGGGGAGCGATTATTCCTTTTTCAAAACAGCCTGTCCTAAATTCATGATTGTATCTTAAGTCCCTCTTGTTTCTCATCCTTTGTTTGAATTATCTCCTTCCTATAGAGTAGTATTGTTTGCCTTATTGGTTTTACCCAAATATCTGGTAATCTTTAGTGGTCTCTTTACTTATAAAAAAAGAATCAGTCTGAATGATGTCAGTACTTGGCTTGGGTTTCCTCTTCCATTATGAGGTTTGGGTGTCTATGGACAGCATTCTTCCCTGACCGAGGGCTGCCAAGGGGGTCTGTGCAAGTGGCCAAGCAGACAGACTGACAGGCTCTCCTTTGGGGTACAAGAGCGGGGAGCAGACAGGCCTCAGCCCCACAAAACTGAGCCACCTCTAGTTCTACCAGACACCCTAGCTCATCTGAGGCAGCTTGTTCACTTTGTTTAGAGGACAGTCTTCTGTGATAAATGCCATTCCATCCATTGAGCTGAGGTTGGGGAACAGAGGGATGACTGGTGCATTTTCTTCAGACAGTGTGTGTGTTTATTAATCAGCTTGATTATGGTTGTACTGCCCATTCCCATTCTTTCTACCTGCTGATCTCAAGTTAGGTCTTTCCCAGATTCTTCTCGCGTCTGCTACAGCCATTCTGAGTCTGTGTTCGGGACCCTGGAT